TTAAAAATATAACCCAAGTAAATTTTGAAAAATCATCAACAATAACAAAAGTATAATGTTTACCTCCTAAATTAGCCATCATAGAAGGTTCAAAAAGATCCATATGGAGAAGTTGTAATGGGTTTGTGGTTGAAGTATAAATTTTTGGTTTGAAAGAACTTTTTACTTGTTTTCCAAATTGACAAGCATCATAAATTTTATCTTTTTCAAATTTCAAATTCGGTAAACCTTTTACAAAGCAATTTTTGGAAATTTTTGAAAGAAGATCCATGTTTACATGTCCAAGTCTTCTATACCATAACCATGATTCTTCTTTCAAGCTAAGTAAACATTTTTCATTATTTTTCAATTCAATGTTTATAATATAAACATCTTTACTTTGGCTTCCTATAAAAATCACCTCTTTCAATGTAGCATCCTTAATAAGGCATTTAGAAGAATTGAATTTTATGTTATAACCTTTGTCACATAATTGACTAATACTTAGTAAATTATGTTTAAGATTATCAACGAGTAAAACATTTTCGATAGAAGGGGAAGAGTGGTTACCAATGTTTCCAAAGCCTATTATTTTACACTTGGCGTTATCTCCAAAAGTCACATGGCCTCCATCCTTCTCATGGAAGTTTGATAACAATGATCAGTCTCCGGTCATATGCTTCGAGCATCCACTATCCAAGAACCATTTACTTTTTATTTTCTTTAGTACCTACAAGGACAAATTAAGTTTTGACCTTTGGTACCCACACAAATTTGGATCCTTGATATTTAGTTTTTGTGGATTCTTATATCCACTTGTATTTGTTCTCAAAGAATAATTTCTTTTTAGTTACACAATTAAAAGCAATATGTCCACTTTTATTACAAAAGCTACATGAAATATTTGAAACCTTAACAAACATATTTTTGACTGATTTTTGTTTTAAAAAAGGTTTGTATCCAATTCCTCATTTATCAAAAACACACTTTTGACTACCGAGCATTAAATCAAATATTTTTTTACCTTTGGTAAATTTATGGATAATTTGTGTTAAATCATTAACTTTTTCTTTCAAAGAAATGTTTTCTTTTATCAAAAGGTCATGATCAATACCCTCCCTTTGCTTTTCGAAAATTTTCTTAATTTCTTCTTTCAAAATAGAGTTTTTCTTTTTAAGAATAGCATGATTTAAAGCGAGTTTTTCAAAATTTTCAAACGTTTCATTATAAGAAATTGAAAGATCATCATAAGAACATACCTCATCTTCGATTGCCATGAAACACATATTTGCCACTTCATCTTGACTATTATTCCCATTTTGTTCTTCGTCGTCGTTATCGTCCCATATGGTTTGGAGTGCCTTTTTCTTAAAATTTTTCTTTTTATTTGGACACTCGGTTCTCTTGTGACCAGACTTGTCACAATCATAGCAAACAATTTTTTTGTTCTTATCTTCCTATTTTTCTTTTTTTTTTTTTTTGAAATTTTCGATTACTACGAAAACCTTTCCATTTTTTGACAAGAAGGACCAAATCATCAAATTCTTCATCGCTCATATTTTCATTTGAAGTTCCTTCTTCAATTGCCGATTTTAATGCAATTTGTCGTTTAGGAGGTTCCTTTGATTCCTTCTTGCTTTTTCTCGTTTTCTCCTTATTCTCGGCATTGTTTAGCTCATAGGTCATTAATGTACCGTAGAGCTCTTCCAAAGGATATGTATTTACATCCTTAGTATTTTCGATCAAAATCCTCAATGGACTCCATTCCTCCGATAAGGACCTAAACATTTTGCTCACAAGTTCACCGTTAGTAAATTTATGACCAAAGCCTTTAAGACCATTTACAATATCGGTAAAACGAGTAATCATATCAACAAAGGCTCATTTTATTTCATAAAGAAAATTTCAAATTCTTTAACTAGCATATTTATCTTTGTTTCCTTAACTTTACTTGTGCCAACATGAGTAATTTCAAGAGCATGCCAAATATTATATGCCGAATCACATGTACTAATTCGATTAAATTCATTTCTATCAAGTGCACAATAAAGTAGATTTTTAGCCTTGACATTTAATGATAGTTTTCTCTTATCTTCATCATCATATTTTTTTCTAGATTTGGGGAGAGTTTGATCCGGTCTACCATCTACTTTAATAGTCTTAGTGGAAGCATATGGATCATATTCAATAACTCTCCAAATATTGTAATCAATAGATTGAACATATATCATCATCCTAGCATTCCAATAGTTATAATAGGTAACATCAAAGAAAGGAGGTGGGTTTGTAGAGTGCCCTTCACTATTTTGAAAAACTTGGTTAGCCATTACTCAAGATTGTAGAATAAAAAAAAAAAAGAGTACCAAGCTCTGATACCAATTGCAAGCCCAAGAACAACTAACCAAGAGGGGAGTGAATTGGTTATTTGATCCTTTTTCGAAAATAAGCGCAAATTTAAACAAATAACTATGAATAAACAAGATAACACAAAAGTAATAAGAGGAAGGGAAAAGAGAGTGCAAATGATGTAATAAGTAGGTTCGATCCAATCACGATCTACGTCCCCCGTTACCAAGCTCTCCATCACGATCAAGACGTTTTTCACTATATTGATTGACTTATGGTGCAATCCAACATTCTTACAACACTTTCGATGACTTACAAGCAAGGAGCACCGTTCTTTTACAATGTTAAAATTTTCGGAATTTCAACTCGACCCACAAGTTTGAAAGATAAGGAGTATACAAATGAAAACTTCTCTTGCAATAAATGATATAATTGAAGTTGAATACAACAAGAGAAGATGGCTAACACTTTAATAGATAGCAATGATTGAAGCTCAAGTGTTAGAAAAGAAAAACAATTTGATAAGAATGATTTTCAAAAGTTTGATCAATCAAATATTTTTCTAATAAATAGATTGAAGAAATAGATGTATAAAGGTAATTGAGTAGATAGATTAGTGATATCTCACTTTAAATGCTCATATCAAGTCTTTTATTGAATGCAAAGTGATCTAGTATTTATAGCAACAAAAAGGTCAAAAGTTCTGCTCTACCGGACGAGGATGCCGGACGTCTGCTATCTTCCGGACAGTCAAATAACCCTTTGTTGTTTAGAAATCAGAACGTTCGATATCTTGACAGTTGGACAAACCTATCAACGTCCGCTAGTATAACTGGACTCGTTTGCTAGACCTATCGGATGTGTCCTCTAGAACAGCATTTTTTTGAATTTTTTTCTTTCTTTAAATAATGTAGCAAAATGTAAATTTATGAAAGATGTTTCCAACATGGGACTTTTTGACATTTCTTAAAGTATGTAATAGGTTCATGCTTCTTTATGCAAAAAAAATCATGTTTGTCGTGCGAAGAAACGTTGCTTGAGCTTCAAATGACGTATATGCCAAATACTCAAGTGTTTTGCCTTAAAATTTGAAATAAAGGTGTCTAAATATATTTTCTTCTAATTTCTTCTTGAAGTGATCGTTGTCTTGATATGTAGCTTGGTTTCTACTTTGTCCAAACTTGCGGGAGCTCCGCTTGTCGTAAACTTTTATAATCACTTAAATACAATTGTTAAATAAAATATGTTTGTTATAATCAAAACGAGAAATCAACTGTAGGTCAACACAAATTCCCGTGATAAAAGTTTGTAAATTGTTTGTTGGTCTTTGTAAGTGTGTATGTGAGAAGAAGGGATGGCGTCCTCCCATGATTTCCTTTTGTGTAGAAGTAAATGAAGAATTATTCTTCATTTATTCTTTAGTGTTAAAGGGCTAAATCAATGAAATAATAAACCTACATAAGGGTTTTGGTTACACTTCTCAAAACTCTTAATATTGAATTGGGGCATAGCAAGCTCAAATAAACAATTTGATCCACTTTACGTCTTATTACCCGTGAGGTGATTGTAGTTTCCATGACTAATTTAAATTTTGATTTTCTAAGTGTTTGCTTACTTCCACGGTGATATCACTTCATCCAAATAACAATTTACCTTTACTTTGGCCTATGAAATACATAGAACAAATGCGAGAAGGAATAAAAATATCTTCTTGGCTCCATGCTCGAGCCTATTTCTACTTTTGATAGGAATTTTGGCTTCATTCATAGCCATAAAATTCGTGTAGAGAGGATTTGTTACGCAACAACAAAAGAAATAATAAGATGAACCCGTGGTAGACAACTTTGCCCCTCGGCTCAATTAGTAGTGACCAACTCTTTCGAAATTGCTCGTGATAACTGGGCTAAAATTCTAGACAAATTGGATCCTCCCCCGTTCGATTAAAAATGGGACTCTTAGCTAAAGAAAAATTATGTGACATGGTCAACAACCTAACTCGATTTTGCTTTTAACATAATTTGTTGATAAAGTATTAGATGGTGAACAATAAATTAAATAAAAATTCTAATATCTTTTCTTGTTTGACTCTCGTGTGCTCAGAAAGTGATATAAAATGTCAACAAAATTTAGGGGCATGCTTTAAATGAGATTTGATGCTACCAAAAATCGTACCTATCAATTTCCTGAGGATGAGAACTAAGAAAGAGCAGGAATAAGGTCTTTCGGTACCTGAAACAAAGGTAACGAAGTGTGTCCTCATCGCCCTTCCGATACTTAAATTAGAGGGGGAATTTATGCGGAAAGATATATGCTGAAATTGTATGTAAAGACGTACCTGAATAATGATCAAAACCTTTGTATTTATAGAGGTAGGTAGTGCTCTCCTAGTAGGATTAAATAGTGCACACTCGATAGGACTAAATCAGTTGGATATCCTTATTTCAAAGAGTCCTATCTGGGAAGAGTATTTTATTTGTACTACAATTACAAGACCACTCATAATTTAGATAATATAGTTGAGATAGTCCTCATAAATGTAGGAGGACTGAGTTGATGTGTTTGAATCAGATTAGAGTCCTTCATGTGTAGGACTTCTTTTTGGCGTAGGCAGGAAGGTGCCTGAAACTATGTAAAGGAAAGTACTCAAATATTTGCATGTTTTGGGCGTCAAGAAGACCTTCCCAAAGACTTATCTTGTGGACCTTGCCAATCAAATCCTGTGGAGGTATGGTATTAGTCCTTGAGGATTTCAGCCCGAGGACACCTTTAGCCCGAGGACTCTATGACCAATATGCGATGAGCAGGCACATGTGAGTCCTTGGGAAGAACACCTCGAGGATATGCAAAAAGTGACCACATCAGGATTGAAGCTGTTATTGCTATTTGAAACGACCCAATAGCATGTGTCTATAAAAGTTTAGTCCAAACAGGATGGGCTCACACTCGAATCCGAGCCTAATTATGGGCTGCATAAAGTAGATTGGAGCTTTAGCTATAGCTTTGATCAAAAGTGGTTGGTTTCCATACACCAGATCCCAGTCCAAGGAAGAGTGATGGAATGAAGATGGTGAGATGAATCGATGATGATCCAGAACTTTCCTGCAATTCATTTACGGCTGCATACCCTATACTATGCAACAAAAGCATTCAACTACATTTTTTCGCGTGCTCTAACGAACGCCAAGATCCAATTGAGTTTCCCAGAACACAGTTCCGCCACTTTTAGCAATTCAATAACTGTAAATTCAGACTGTATAACTCAATTGCTGGAATATGGGTCTCTACAGAATCCATACACTATAAATGAAATAGTATCCTGGTGCGCTCAAAAGGGTTCCTTATTTTCTGGCATTCAGCTTCATTGTCACATTCTCAAGACGGGTTTTGCTAACAATGTTTATATAAGCACTTCCTTGATTTATATGTATGGAAAATACGGTGAAAATGTATTGGCTCATAATCTGTTTGTTGAAATGCCTAAAAAAAATGCTGTCACTTGGAATTCTTTGATTTCTGGTTATGTGAACTCCCACTATCCTGGAACTGCTATTGAATTATTCATCAAGATGCTAAGCGAGGGCATTTCTGTCACGCCCTTCACTGTTTCGTCTGTTTTGATAGGATGTTCACAGTTAGAAGACGCTATGCTCGGGGTTCAAGTGCATGGCTTGAGTCTTAAAGCTGGGTTCGGGTTTCATGCTGTTGCAGGGAGTAGTTTGATTGATATGTATGCGCACTGTGGGAAAATCGAGGATTCAAGAAAAGTTTTTGATCGAGTAATAGTAAAAAATGTAGTTACATGGAATTCGATGATTAATGGGTATGCCCAGAAACAATGCTCCATCAAAGCAATGATTTTGTTCAGAGAAATGCTTCGGTCTGCTGTCGAGCCGAATTATGTTACATATAATAGTTTGTTGAGCTCATTTTGCTGCCAGGATGATTTAGATCATTGCAAGCAGATTCATTGTTGTGTAAGTCGGGAGGGTTTAGAATCTAACATTTATTTGGCGACTACATTAATGACTGTATACTCAAATTCAGGCTGTTGCTTAACAGATTTCTATAATATCTGCTGCAATGTTACAGTATGGGACCAAATTGCATGGAATGCTGTAATTGCTGGATTTTCTAATTTGGGGATTGGCAAGGAAGCCCTACTAAGCTTTTCGAGAATGAGGCAGGAAGGCATTACTGTCGACTTTTTTACATTCACAAGCCTGATAAAAGCATTGGGAAGCAGTTCATCCCTAGAAGAGGGAAAACAGATCCATGCTCTTGTTCTCAAAACAGGTTTTACTTTAAATAATTACGTACAGAATGGGCTCGTTTCCATGTATGGAAAATGTGGTAAGATTGATGATGCAGAGAAGGCATTCTCTTCGATGGATGACCACGATGTGATTTCATGGAATTCTATAATTACAAGCTGCGCTCAGCATGGTTATGGAAGCCAAGCTGTACAAATGTTCGAACAAATGAGGAGACGTGAGATTAAACCCAATCTGACCACTTTCCTTGCAGTCCTCACTGCATGCAGCCATGTTGGATTGCTTGAGAAAGGCTTAGAGTATTTTGATCTGATGAAGAAAAGTAACGATTTCCTTCCACCACCCAAGTTAGAGCATTATGCTTGTGTCGTGGATCTCTATGGACGAGCTGGTTATATCAAAGAAGCAGAGGCTTTCATCAATAGCATGCCAATTGAAGCAGGGCCATCAGTATATAAAGCTTTGCTAAGTGCTTGTCAAGTTCATGGTAATAAGAAAATCGCTGTACGTTGTGCAAGAAAGCTCGTGGAACTTTGCCCTAATGATCCAGCTATATATGTATTACTGGCAAATGTTCTGGCGACTGAAGGAAGTTGGAATGATGCAGCAAGCGTGCGAAAACTAATGTGTAACAAAGGGGTGAGAAAAGAGCCAGGCTACAGCTGGGCATGACATGAGTAAGTGCTCATCTTTTGATGTTAGACAGGTTAGATGCCGATCCCTCTACAAGTATTTTAAACAAATAGGCTACCACCAAATTGCCAGACTAAACCGTAATGACTGAATTTTCATTCAGTGTCCATTGGAATTAGTAAGAAACAAACTGTGACAGCCCCTTTGGATCTACCTTTTTCTTGTTCAGTTTTTCATTCTTATTCTCTTGAAGATTTTATTTTTTACCGCGAAGTATGGAAGTTTTCATTCCAAAGATTTTTGAAATCTTAGGATCCAAGGGAGTTGTACACTTTCTATTATTTTGCTTTAGCACTAATATTGAGAAGAAAGTGAGTTCCTACTCTCTTCTGCATAACTGTATGTAATAGGCAGCTTATTCGTAGAGCGACTGCGGGAGTTTGAAGTGCCAGCCATTGAAAGAATGGGATCGGGAGCAATTTAGGGTGTCCAACCAAGGAAAATGCTTTTTATACATCATTATATACGGATTCTTTTACAGATTAATTAGGTGGTAAAAAGAAAGTGGGAGGATTTTATTTTTTCAGTTGGTTGATGAAATTTTTATGTGATGATGAAAGCCAAACAAGCACAAGATTGGCTCAACTTAATATGTTTTGGCACGTCATATTCATTTGAAAATTACATCTTTATTGGCATCAGGAAAGAATTTGGATAAGTATTGCCAAACTATCTATATCATGATTAAAAGTTAAAACTCCATAATGCCGAAGATTACCAACTATGGAATAATCAAATAAGATGCGACATTAAAGAAATAAATAAATACTAGTATGCGTCTTGTGCGCTGCACGAATTTTGTATTTATTTTGGTTTTATTAGCGTAAAATTTATAGATTGTACAAAAAGTATTTGGAAATAAGAAATGTTTGTTTGATTCTCATCTTTTGGTCGACTGTATATTTTATGTTACGATAATTTATTTTTTTTCTTATAAATAAGTATAATGAATGTTGTGATTGTATATATGTCAACGATAATTTATTTTTAATTATTTATTGTATTTTTTTGTTTAATGTAGATAAATATATTTTTTTTATCTGATATTGCAAATAAGTTGTAAATTGAATTTTGCAAAATGCTTTTCTTTAGCAACTTCGATTCGAAAGGCTATACTTGTAGTTCAAAAATAACCCATGCAGTTGTAAATTGAAAGGGAATATCCACATACACAAACATTTAAATAACAAACTCGGGTTCGCACGTAAAATAACTTGAAATGGTACTTACTGGATGACCAACTTCCTTGTTAGTGTAAGAATTAAAATCCTAACAGTAGGCCTATTTTTCGGACGATACAACAGTCACTCCAAAGTTGATAGGGCAAAAAATTTTTTAAAAAAAATTAAATAAATTTTATTTGAAATAAAAAAGAATTAAAAAGAAATTTAAATAAATTGATAAAAAAATCAATTATTTATAAAGTAAATTTTTCAATAATTAAATAATATTTATGTATTCTTCATTTAATTTCCATAACTTTATTTTATTTTTTACTTCTAAATAATTTTAAACGAATTTTTTTTACTTATATAAGTAATTTTTACATATATTAGAAATATTTTTTGTTAATATGTTTATTTTTAAATTTTTTTTTACTAAAAGTGAATTTTTTTTTTTTTACTTATAAAAGTGGTCAGCACGGAGTAAGACAGGAGGTATGAAAAGTTGCGTGTTATATAGATTCATACACTATATATATAATATAATAATATAAGCAAGTGAGTTGATTTGAAAAGGCGTGGCCATAGCGTATAAAAATGGAGAACGGAAAAGTACAAAAAAAAAAAAATTGAATAATCCTTCGTGCACGGGACCACACTATATATAATTTTTTTAAATTCTTTTCTCTTCAATTTTTTTAACCTACAAATAACTTTTCCGTTAAAATTGAAAAATTAAATTTTATTTGGAAGAGAAAAGAATTAAAAAGAAAAAAATAATTAATTTTTTTTTAAGAAAAAACCCATTTGTTAACACATACGTTTAATCTCCGTTTAACTATTTTCGATATTTATGTAGATCATTCCATGTCTCTACGATATAATTCTCAAAATGAGTTTCGAGAGAATGTAAAATATTTATCGATTCGACTATCATACAATCGTCGATGAATTTTTAAAGTTAGCTTGTTATCGAAAATTTCGAAATAGTAATAAAATAATTGATTTTTTTAAAGAAAAACGACTTATGCGTATTTTTTAACACATACGTTTAATGTCCGTTTAACTATTTTTGATATCTATTTAAATCATTCGATATCTCTACGATATAGTTCTCAAAATGAGTTTCGAGAGAATGTAAAATATTTATCGATTTGACTATCGTACAATCGTCAATAAATTTTTAAAGTTAGCTTGTTATCGAAAATTTCGAAATATAGTTTGAAAATGCCTACTTTGATATCCCATAACATTTGCTATGATTGACCGTTTCACACACCGTAAACGACGTGCAATACTATGCTTCGAGTATTTCAAAACGATATTAAGAATGTAATATTTCGATTTCGTTTGATATCCCGTAATGAGCGTGAAAATGAACACAAAAACATAAGTAAAAATAAATAAAATTCATTTCTCTCTCTGTGCACGGAGACCACACGTAGTTATCTTATTTTTTTTCTTTCTTTTTTTCCTTTTTAAATAAAAGCTAATACCTCTTTATACTATATATATATATTATTTTTTTTAATTTTTAATTTTTTTGCAACTTGAAACAAACTTTTTACTATGTAAAGAAATATACTTAAAATTTTGAATTAATATTTAATCTAAAGTAATATTCAGATAAATTTAATTTAAAAAATTCAATATTACTAAAAATATTACTATAAACTTAAATATTGTCTGAAATTATAAGATATATCCAACAACGATGATATAATTTTTTTTTTTAGTTTTCTATATCTATAATAATGTAAAAAAAAAAAAAAGAATATCCATGCACTCTATGCACGGAGGAAAGCATCGTTTTTGCTCCCCACTTGAAAAAAAAATGAAATTTTAAATAATTGAAAAAAATTTACGTCATACCACATAAATTTTTTTGAGCAAAATGATGTATTGAGAAAAAAGTTGCGAAAAAATAATAAATAATAATAAAAAAATTGATTTATTTAAGAAAAAATGACTTATACGCATTTTTTAACACATACATTTAATATCCGTTTAACTATTTTCGATATTTATTTAAATGATTCGATATCTCTAATATAGTTTTCAAAATGAGTTTCGAGAGAATGTAAAACATTTAAGATTCTTACAATCGTCGACGAATTTTTAAAATTAGCTTGTTATCGAAAATTTCGAAATAGTAATAAAATAATTGATTTTTTAAGAAAAAAGATTTATGCGTATTTTTTAACACACACGTTTAATGTTTGTTTAACTATTTTTTATTTTTTTTAAATATTTGGGTTGTTTATATTATAAATTTTTTTTAATTTAAAATTCTTTTCTCTTAATAATTCCTAACAGAAACTTAGTTTTGATTTGCATTATAAATAATTTTTCTTTTCAACTTAAAATTCTTTTTTGATTTCTTTCTCTTTAATTTTTTTACTCACAAGTAATTTTTTACCTCTTAGAAATATTTTCTATCATATATTATTAGTATTTTTATTTTTTAATAATTTCATATAATATTTAATTTTATAGTAATAAAATATTAAAAAAATTTACTTTAAAATATTTTATTATACTGTAAGAAACTTCTGAAACACATAATTTTTATACCTCCAACCACTCCATGCTCAACCACTATTATATAGATATATATAGTAGGGATATAAGAAAAAAATTACTTTTATATAAAAAAATAAAAAAATATTTTACAAAAAGTTACTTTTAAGTAAAAAATTTGAAGAAAAAAGAATTAAAAAGAATTTTAATTTTTGTTGTTCACATTTTAATTTTTTTTTTTCAGTTTATAATTCATTTCTCTTAATAATTCCAAACAGAAATTTAGATTTGAGAATTTTTTTTTTGTGTAGTTGTACGTTATAAATAATAGTTTTTTTAATTTAGAATTCTTTTTAATTTTTTCTTCAAATTTGTTATTATTAATCAGTATTTTTTAATAGTTTGAGAGAAAATTTAATTTTCTAGTAATAATTCAATGTATAAAATGATGAAAAAAACATATTCACTTCGTGTATGGAGAAAAAAATTTCGTCATATCACATAATTTTTTTGAGCAAAATGATGCATTGAGAAAATTGTTGCGAAAAAAGAATAAATAGTAATAAAATAATTAATTTTTTAAAGAAAAACGACGTATACGCATTTTTAACACATACGTTTAATCTTCGTTTAACTATTTTCGATATTTATTTAGATCATCTGATATCTCTACGATATAGTTCTCAAAATGAGTTTCAAGAGAATGTAAAATATTTATCGATTCGACTATTGTACAATCGTCGATGAATTTTTAAAGTTAGCTTGGTATCGAAAATTTCGAAATAGTAATAAAATAATTGATTTAAAAAAAAAAAACGGTTTATGCGTATTTTTTAACACATATGTTTAATGTCCGTTTAACTATTTTTGATATCTATTTAGATAATTCAATATCTCTATGATATAATTCTCAAAATGAGTTTCGAGAGAATGTAAAACATTATCGATTCGACTATCGTACAATCGTCGATGAATTTTTAAAATTAGTTTATTATCGAAAATTTCGAAATATAGTTTGAAGATGCCTACTTTGACATCCCATAACATTTGCTATGATTAACCGTTTTATGTGCAATACTATGCTGCGAGTACTTCAAAACGACATTAATAATGTAATATTTCGACTTCATTTCATATCTCGTAATAAGCCTGAAAATGAACAAAAAAACATAAGTAAAAATAAAATAAAATTATTTCTCTCTTCGTGCACGGAGGCCTTCCTTCCTTTTTCTTTCCTTTGTGCACGGAGAGATTATTATTATTTTTTTGTTGTGTAGTTTTACGTTATAATTTTTTTTAAAAATTCTTTTTAATTCTTTTCTCTTTAAATTTTTTACTTACAAGTTATATATTGTAAAAAAATTTCTATCGCATATTATCTCTATCTCTATCTCTATCTCTTTTTCTTTTATATAAAAAAGTGATTTTTTTCTTATATCACTATTATATATATCTATATCGGAGTGGGGGAGGAATGGAAATTTCGTGTTGCAGTAAATTTGAAGATAGTGTATAACAAAATAAAATATATATCAAGCAAACGACGGCGTTTTTGGCCCCCAATTGGAAAAAAAACGGAATTACTACAATAAAGATGAATCAAGACACTGTTGCTTTCTACGGTACCCTCACATTCCCCATTTTATATAGTAGGGAAATAAAATTCCTATCTAGTTTGAAATTTGTAAAATTACGCGGGCAATATATGCAATTAGGCAAAATACGGAGGGTTATTTTGGTCCATCAACCTTCCTAGGGTTTTGGTTTGAACGCTAATGAAACTATCAAACGAGGCCGCAGACCCAATTCTTCCCTCTCAGCAGCTCTAGCAATATTCATCATCTGTATCTTCCGGTAATCTTTCTACTATTTATCTTTCCTTATAATTTATTTGTATCTATATACTATAAGTATCTGTATCTATTTGTTTGCGCACATTTTTTATTAAATAGATCATTCTGCAACTAGATCGTCATTTATAGTAATAATACGTACAATTATATTGGGGAATTATCCGTTTTCAATTGTGAAGAGGGTTTAGTTTGAAATTATTTTTTTTGAACAAAATTGTTGTTGTGTAAGTATAGCTATGAAATGTTGGTTGTGTACCTTTCGTGTAGTAGTGATACATTATGAAGTTAAGAAAAAGTGTTAATATTGTCAAAGATTTTCGGTGACTAAAGTGTTGTAGGGCTGAAATAAATGGATTGAGTTAGGCCACTCGAAACAAGGGATTTGACGAAATATTCTGGACAAGTTTAGAATTTTTTATGGGGGTGTAAATTAGATCTCTATGCATATATTTCAAAATTATAATTGAAACATCAAATTATGAGTTTAGAGATCTTGGTTCAGATTGTTGAGTCAAAGAAGATAGCCTACTTTTGGTTGGACATAATTTGTCTGTTAATTGGGTTATTTTTTTATTCAGGTGCTTAACCTTTGTTTGCAGTTGAACAATTTTCCAAGATGCAGAACGAGGAGGGACAAAATATGGATCTCTACATTCCCAGAAAGTGGTGTGTGTCTTTTCTGTGATGCTATTATTCAGTCTTTTTATGCCAATTCTTGCCTTTTTGTATTAGACTTAAAAGTGATACTTGTGAGGAGCATGATGTGGTTATGAGAAATTTTGTGTTTGGTGCAGTTCTGCCACAAACAGGCTGATCACGTCCAAGGATCATGCATCTGTCCAGATCAACGTTGGTCATTTGGATGAAACTGGCCGATACACTGGCCAATTCTCCACCTTTGCTCTCTGTGGATTTGTCCGCGCTCAGGTTTTTATCCTTCTATGATTTGGGTGCATTTTAAATCTGATGCTGCACCTTTCTTCTGGTTTGTTCTGAAGCTATAAATGATGCTCATTTGATTTTGTTATATATATATATATATATTTTTTTTTTTCCTCTCTATTACTGATATTACGGGAAGATATTTTTTGAATAATTCTAATAAGTAATAACTACTATTGCCTATGGAACAATTTCCCCTAAAAGTTACTAAATTTTCCCTCTGCATTGTTCGTATTGGTCTTATTTTCTTCTAGTCATCAAAATGTAAATATTGAGAAAATTTTAAAGTTGTAGGCAATGAAAAGGGGAAAGAAATAAAAAGATTTTCTTTAATTTTGCTGCATCGGCCTATATTGATGATAGAGAAATCACTGATATTCACATTAAAGAGGGGGAAGTCAACAATCTTAAATATTATAAAATTCTATTCAATCCGACTGGACCAAGTAATATACCACCACAAGGTTTTAAATTCTTAGGAGCCCCTGGAACCGTAAATTATGTATGAGCTGGTTAGACAAATAGGTAGAACGTGTAATCTATCATTAGCTAGAAGTAGAATTAGAATGGTGTGTTTATAGAGAGACATCAAGTGTCATGCAAGGCATTTCGAGGCTTAGTTGATCAAGTCCTTCAAAGTATTGGTGATCTTCACTTGATAAAGTGCTTCTACTGTATTGCTGTAGTTATAGATTACTGTGACTATCTCGCTGCTAACCCATCGGAGATGGACCCCCAACCTCAATCCCCTAGAACACACCCGTTAAAACTGGCATATAAATTTATCTGTGTGCTTGCCTACACTTGAATATTTGTCTGCTTGATCTATCCTTTCCTCTTTATTCAATTGTTGACCATCTATTTGGCAATTTATTCTTTTATCTGTTATCAGTGTTATATAGATGATTGGATTAGATATTTTCTTCAGTTTCATTTTAAGCTGATTTGTGTGACCTCTGGATTGTTTGATGCTTAGCCTTTTCAAGTTGTTTGATTATACTTTATTGACACAGTTAAATTTCCATCTTTTATGTAGCAGAACTGTTGAACTTCACATTTGTTTTCTTAAAACATTATTCTATTACCATTCATAATGGAAGATTCATTGTGAGATATATGGTAGTGGTCATATAGTTCTCGACTTATGTAATATGTTTGATGCTAATTATTGTGAGTTAACCAACCATTTTGCAGGGCGATGCTGACAGTGCTCTCGACAGACTCTGGCAGAAAAAGAAAGTTGAGGTCCGACAGCAGTGATGCGTTTTGGCTTCTGGTCTCAAGCAGTTCAATTTCTTTGCTTATGCTTTCTTTCTGGGTCTCTGTTATAGTTCCCTTTTAGAATCTCCATCTATGAAGTTTTACTATGACTTCTGTGCTAGAATTGAAAATTAATGTTTATTAAAAATGGTTTTGGAGATTTTTTGCCTGAGGTGTGAAATTTTGTTTTTTGTTTTTTGCCTCTTGATGGAAACTGTGTTTAAATTCTGTTTAAATTCCTTAGACTATGCTACCTACACAGGTCCTGTACAGGTGCACACACATGAAGGTGGACTCCACACATGGGTTCCACAAGTGGGGTCCACCCCCATGTGAGATCCCCTATACAGGTCCTGTGCAAAGGGGCCTGTGTACGTAGACTAATAGAAATTCCATTAGCTACAATCCGTGTCTCACTTTTCATGCTTGGCTTGTTTTCAATTATCAATTTCGTGCCTATATGCTACTTCAAACTGAATATTTAACTATTATTAATTGTCACGTCTTCGTAGTTATTTTATTTTATTTTTAAATGAAAATCTCGTGTGGTTTTACTTTAAGCTGTTCGATATGCCTTATAAGCACCTTTAATTGCCAAATATGTCGGGGTGTAAAAGAAGCTCATTTTTCAACAAATAATGCAAAGCAAGCTGGTGAAATTAATAGGAGATCATACCTTTTCTATGGGGTAAATGCTTGTATTTTAGTTTGACGGAGCAAAAGACTATCTTACCCTTAGAAGTAATTAGACTCTCACGTGATTTTAGTAAACCATTAAATTTAGCTTAGTAATGATATCATTCCTTAGTCGCATCCCTAATTGATTTCAGGCTTTTTCATTGGTAGTTTAATTTGTTCTATTGGGATTCGCTTGACAGAAAAGAATAACCGAAATTAACTACGATAATATTAATCTAATGAATATTTGTGTAGTTCACCAAACATTCTTCACAGAAGAATAAGAAATCATCTTTTAAAGAAATGTTCCACCTAACCCCAATTCAGTATTTCAATCAAATTTCATTCCCATTTGTTCTCAATCTAAATATGACAACAATTCAAACGTTAAATTAGGATTTATTTTTTTTTTTTTATCTTTTTTTTTTGTCATTGTGAGTCACGCTAGCTAAGTATAAAAATATTAATCAAACTTGAAAAAATAATTTAACTTTTAGTCCCTGTTTTGTTCAACTGAAAAACTTATTAAATATAAGTCAAAGTCAACAATAAATTTTAACTACAAATTTTATCAACTTAATGAAAATATATTAAAAATCTTATTATGTAAACCTAATGGGGGCTTAATATGTAAATTTAACTAAGCATGTTAATTTTTAATTCGACTTGACTTGTCAAGTTTTTTGTGTGTGTGTGTGTGTATTTGTATAGACTTTTTAACATTCCTTAAAATGATTTTTATCTACTAGTATTTTAGTTTTATGTATATATACTAGTCGTATGCCCGTGCAATGCACGGACTTTGTTAATTTTTAAGTAATGTTAGTGTATCTAGCGTTAAGAGTTGATGTACATTAGATTAGATCAACAAAACAAACTTAATGCAATGAGGTAAATTTACATATAACGTTATCAATAAAGTACAGTCGTAAAACATCTAAAGAGCATAATGAAATAAAGGTAAACTTTGATGCTGACAAAAAATAATTAGCAAACAAGAGTTAAGTGTACAAGGGGACTTGAACAACATGCTAGCATCCTGGCCGGAGATGGCACCTTCTCATGAATCCCCTTTGACACAATATTAGATGCTTGACATGTAGATGATTTAGCTTCTTTACATTCTTCCATTGTTAATTGTAATCACAAAATTATATGTATATAAAGCAGAACTATTCACGATGTGCTTCAATCGTCAATCATCAACAAAGAAGTCGTTGGTGTCGTCAACATAAGTTTATTCTTTACTTTATATAATTTTTTTAATTTATTAATTAGCGATGGAGTTACATAGGTAATTTATGATATCTTTTATTTATAATACTAAGTTGAATAAGTAATTATCGAATGTTATTTCATTATCAATTAAATTTTCTGACGATATATTTAATTTTTATATTTTGTACTACTTATAGACAAAATTTTCTGCGATAAATGATATTTATGAAAATAATAATTTTTAATATTACAAACTAAAATTGCTTCTTATATCTTCAATTATTTTTTAACCATTATTCAATTTTAATAAAATTCTTTGAAAATAATCTTTAATTTGTTTTATAATTTTATTTGAAGACTGAAGTTTTATTGATACATTAAGTAATTTAAAAAAAAAAAAAAATTGTTGCCGAAGAAAACATGGTTGTTAATCTATAATATTATTTTGTTACCTATATGCTATTTTGTTGATAATATTTGTTTTTAAATTTTTATAGCATTATTTCTGACATAGTTTATGTTGGTAAATTAAATTTATGAAGTAAGTGTTTTTAATTGTTACATAAGGAAAACCCTGACTCGAAAATTTTGACAGTAAAACTATTGAGAAATAAATTTCTTAAAATTTAGGGTCTTACTTAAACGTGGTGTTTTAAGTGACAGGCTTGTTTTTCTAAAGGTTGCGTGAGATTATCTCTTTTAATAATGTGTGGAGGGGGGAGAGAGAGAGAGAGAAAGAGAATAGTGGAGGAACCAGTTTGGAACCAACCTAGTGTGAAAATGGCCCAAAAATGAATAGTAAAACTCCACCCTCTTTTATAGTAAGTAGGGGGGAGAGAGAGAGACCATCCTAAGTTTCGGTGGCAATGAGTCCCTATTTATTATCATTGGAGTTGAGATGCAATTTAAGAAATTAGACAATGAATCGACGAATGATAGATAACATTGCTCTTTCTCAAAATATAGTATAATATGATCAGCCAAATCTCCCAACAATTTATTAACTAAGTGTGTTGCACTTGTTTATGACTAAATAAATGGAGAAAAAAATAAATATATGTGTTTAGTGATTTGATATAAAAAAAATTTGAATGTGTCATGCATACGGATTATTTTATTTCCATTATTAATATTAGACATTATTAAGCTCCAAAGTTCCATTAGGTTTTCTTGTGTTCTAAATTTCTCAGGCGCCAATTATCATCAAGAGAATCCAAAAAACAAAATTCCAATTGTTCAGAGAATTAGATCGATTCTCACATTGATGGCCAAGAAAACTCTGTAGAAGAAGCAAGTTTCAATGCTCTTTGAGAAAGCAAGCCACCATTGTGGGGAGGATAGAGACCATCTAATGCAAATTAGCCTTTTATTTCTTTGTTTCGTTGTTAGAGGGATCAAAGAACACATTTCGTTTCACTTTCCCCCCTTGTCGCCTTCATTAAGAAACCATCAAGCCTCCTTTGCGCCGTCTTCCTCATAAAAGCCGTCGGGTTGACCCCAAATGAGTGATTACAAAAAGACAAAAAGAAAAAAAGGAGGATGGGAAACTCTATCGTTATGAAAAGCTCATCTCAATCTTTTTACATAATTCATATAGAATAATATTGTATGAAATTAAACTTATGTAACTTAGATGTAGTGTGAACAACTTGTGAGATATTCTATTTTTATTATTAGACATCTGAACTGAATTTTTCGATCATGTTTGTTATACCGTAAAGAATTAGAGGGGATTGGATTTAAGGCAAATTAGGGTGAATAAAATGTACAAGTAAAAATAAATAAATAAAAGAAAAAACCCCTATAATATTTTTTCTTATAAGTGAAATTAGTAATGGTTGATTTTATTACTTACAAGTAAATATTTTAGTTATAAGTAATTTATTTACTTAAAACTTTTTACCTATTAGCATATTTTCCTTACTAGTAATTCTTTCAGTTATAAGTTATTCTTATTATTACTATTATATATATATATATAATACGTTATTTTTTTACTCATAGGTAATTTGTTATACTTGTAATAGAATTTTTTTAGTATAAGTGATTTTAACTTATGTGTGATTGTGTGAATGTTTTAGTTAAAATTATTTTCTATCTATAAATGAATTTTAAAATTTTTTTTTTACATGTAAGTAACTTAAGTATTTCAGTTTAACTAATTGTTATTTTAATGTATAAAATGTTGAATAAATTGTGCAGTCTAAACCCATCTAATAGATTAGAGTGCTAAAAATTAGATTTTTTTTTTTTTATAAATTTTGATAAAAATAAATCAAATGTTTGAATGAAAAACTACAAATCTCACAAATTATATGATTAAAATTACTTATTAGCTTTAACTTAAATTTTTATTTAAAATTTTAAATTAAGCTCTTGTTTGAGCTTCATTATTTGGTAAAAATAGATATTAGAATAATAATTTTTAGAGAATATACAATCGAAAGGACAAAAAAGAAATAGGTTTGAATGTAATATTATTTTACTAAGAAAATATGTTGTGAAAAAATGGTTCTTTTAAAATTGAACTAGTCAAAGGTCCTTATTTTCACTTTAACTTTTAAAAACTTGAATATTATCACATTAACCTCTTGAATGGTAAAAGACAGAGATGCTCTTAAATATATTATGTAGTTACAAAATATTAAATTTTAAAAGACATTATTACTCTTTTAGTTAATAATTGAAAACCAATCACTTCCCCACTTATAAAACTGTAGAACGAGTTTCAAACACAGAAAAACTCTCATTTTTATCTGCTTGAACATCAAAATATCAAAAAATTTCAAACGCCGAAACCAGAATTTTTTTCAAATCAATTACTTCAAATTGGTAAGTATATTTTTACACATGCTTAATTTCGATTTTAGTAAATTAGTGTACGTTTGAGTAGTTAAACAACACAGTAGTTAGTAGAATTTTTTTTAACAGATCTATAATTTATTTCTTTAGAATCATAGAAAAATAAAAAATCATACGCAAAATAAACAGTCCGACGATTAAATGTGGGATGTTAACGAAGATTGTCTAACTGTCGGCTGTTAGACGACTGTCTAATAGTCGACCATCAACTGTTAGACAATCGGCTGTCTAACAACCAACTGACAGTCGATTGTCTAACAGCCAACTGTCGACTTTAAACAGCCGACTGTCGACGGTAAAACAGTCCACAGTCGGCTGTTTTTCTGACTGTTTTACGATTTTTTATTATTATTAATTTTTGTTTTGGCAATTGTCTTATAATTTTAATTAAAAATTGATTAAATATTTGAATTTTTGCTGTTGTAATTGATTTAAAA